AATATAACGGGACAAACTAATTTAACAAAACGACAAAAAAGAGCAAAAAATATCAACAAAAGATCATAACAATGCGAAGAAAAACAAAAAAAGACTTAAGAATTATGAATGCAACAAAAATCTGTGACTGCAAAAAAGGAAATAATAAAAGGTGTAATAGAAGAGATAATAAATATGCGAAAAACAACGACAAAATAAAACACAAAACCATGAAGACAAAAAACACATTAAAAAAAAGGTGACAAAATAATGAGCCTACGAAAATCGCAGTTAAAGTAGGTGTCAAAAAAGCAGACAAAAGGAAACACAAAAAAGAAATAATAGTGAAAGAAAACGTAATAAAAGAAATAAAAAAAAAATGGTATGAGAAGATCGACAAAAAAAAAACGAGGAATGTAATAAAAAAGACGATGATTAATAAAAAGTGAATAAAAAAATTCGCCAATAAAAGATAACAAAAACGACTATAAAAATACGAAAATATAAGACCATTAAATCAACGAGAAAAAAAAGAGAGAAAGCGATAAAGGTGGCAAAAAATTGAGACAGAAAACTCAGTTAAATATGTAAACGACAAAAAGAGAATACAGAAAAATAGGATAAAAAGAGACACAAAAAAGCGAAACAAATGAAAAAAAGAACAAAAGGCTGTCACTACACAAGAGGAAGTTAAAAATGGTAATAATAAAAGAGCGAAAAAGGACAACGAAATAAAAGAGAAAACAATGAAAACAAAAAAAAAATAAAAAATGGTGACAAAAACAAAAGTAAGTGTCAAAAAGGCAGACAAAAAAAAAGCACGAAGAATGTGACGAACAAGCAACAACAAACAAAATATGAAAAAAATTTGAGCAAAAAAAGACAACAAAAAAAAAGGGTAAGAAAAAACGACCAAAATGCCGAAAAGGGGAATAAAAACATGGCTACTATAAAAAGATGAATTAAAAAAAATGTGCCATATGAAACATAACAAAAAAGTGCACCAAAAAATGTGATAATCTAAGATAACTAAGTAAGTAAAAAAAAAGACACGACGAGAAAGAAAGCGAGAAACAGACAAAGGCGGTAAAGAGATTAACAAAAAACACAACGAAAGATGTAAGCGGAAAATAGAGAGCACAAAAAATTGGGCAAAAAGGCCATATAACGCGAAAAAAACGCCAAAAAAGAATTTAAAAAGCAACAAAAAAACTGTAACTACAAAAAAGGAAGTTAAAAAAAAGAGTTCACGATCAAGTCATAACAAAAGTGCGATAAAGCGCGACTAAATAAAAGACGAAATTATGAATACAAAAACACAATAAAAAAAAATGTGACCCAAATTGCAAAAACAAAGTAAGTGTCAAAAAAAGAAGACGAAAATAGGTAGGAAAATAGGAAGGAAAAAAGTCAGCAAAAAACTGGAATAAAAGGGAAGGGAGCAAAAGCAATAAAGGATAGCCTATAGAAAAGCGAAAAGGGGCATCAAAAATAATAATCAAAAGGGAGGCACAAAATGTGCCACATGAAATATAACAAAACGACCACAAAAATTACGAAAATATAAGGCCACTATATAAAATAAACACGACCACAAAAGGAGAAAAAACGACAAATGCCGCAAAAAATTACAAAAACAATAACAAATTATGTAAGCGACAGAAAGAGGGCACAAAAACTAGGCTTCAAAAGAAAAAAAAACTATAAAAGAAGAAAAAAAGAAAAAAAAACTATAAAAGAAGAAAAAAAGAATGAAAACCCTGTGAGTCCAAAACATGAAATGAAAAAGAGGCGATAAAAGAAGCAACGCAAAAAGAGCAAAACAGCGAAGACAGAAAACACACTAAAAAAATTGTGACAAAAGAGAGCTTTTCCAAATATCAAAGAAAGTGTGGAAAAAAAGGGCGATAAAAACAGGACAAAGAGATATGACATGAAAAGAAACCAAAAAGGATTGAACTAAAAAATGGGTAAAAACGACAAAAAGGTCGAAAATGGAAATAAATTAATTGTAATATATTGTCCTGTCATTGGATAATAATCTGTTGGGCAATAAAGTCTTATTATTATTATTATTATTATTATTATTATTATTATAAAAAACTTGGCGACTATTAAAAAATAAATTCAAAAAACATGCCGAATGAAAGATAACAAAAATTGCACAGAAAATGTGATAATATAAGATGATTAAATTTGCAAAAAAACACGACGAGAAAAAAAGTGAGATACAGACAAAGGCCACAAAAAAATGACAAAAAAAACAATAAAAGACGTAAGCGGAAATAGAGAGCACAAAAAATGATACAGAAAAGGCCATATAAAGCCAAAAAAAAATTTTAAAACAATAAAAAACTGTTAGCACAAAAAAAGAAAAGTTAAAAAGAGTCCATAAAGAAGTCATAACAAAAGTGTGAAGAAAGGCGACTAAATAAAAGACAAAAGTATGAATACAAAAACACAATAAAAGAAAGTGACAAAAGAATGTCACTAGTCAAAGTAAGTGTCAAAAAACAGGACAAAAACAAGACGGAAAAATTTTGACAAAAAGGCAGCAAAAAAGCGGAGTAAAAAGGAATGGAGAAAAAAATCAATAGAGAAGAGGCTATAGAAAAACGACAAAAAAGCGAAAAGGAACATCAACAATAACAATAGAAAAGGGAGTTAAAAAATGCGCCAAATAAAAGATAACAAAAAGAACCCAAAAAAAATGCCAAAATATAAGACCATCATATAAATAAAAACACGACAAAAAAGGAGAAAAAACGGCAAAGGCGACAGAAAAAAGGACACAAAAAGTAGGCCCCAAAACAAAACAAAAACCGACAAAAAAGTATTAATAGAAGTAATAGAACAACAAAAATCCTGTGAGTCCAAAAAAAGAAATGAAAAAGAGGCGATAAGAGAAGCGACGAAAAAAGAAAAAAGCTGCGAAGACAGAAAAGATTACAAAAGAATACGTCTTTAGAAATCGCTGTCAAGAAAGTGTCAAAAAAACAAAAAGGGTGACAAAAAAATGGCAGAAAAATATGACATGAAAAGACATAAAACAAAAGATTGAACTGAATAAAAAAACGATAAAAAAAGGGACCAAAAATATCACAAAATAAAACGAATGTAAAAGGCGCCAAAAAATCTATAAAAAACACAACCAAAAGAAAGACGTAAACATAATAAGCTAGTAAGCATAGTATTTAGATCGTTAATAAAAAAACGGTATCTGCTTATTGCATGTTAAAAATTTTGCAAAAAAAATGTTATCTAAAATGTGCAAAATATTATGAGCTTGAACTTAAAAGAGCGAGTTTGCTAAAATTTTGAAAATGCAGTTGTGTTATTATGAATATTACGTTGTAGTTAGTCACCAAAACGTTTATTCCACAAAATACCGAAAACATAAAAAATTATCGACGTATTTCGTCAACTATGTTGGCATTATCTAGACCAAATTAAACTTCACACATTTTTTTTGTTTTCGATGTTTTGGAGAATAAACGTTATAGAATTATAGCGTACCAAGGGGTCAAAATAGATTCCTAGACCCAACCACATTGATGTACGTGGTTTAGCTAAAAAGTTGATAACATCTTCACAATATTTTATTATGAAAAACTCACTTGAAATATACTCATAGCATGCCTGTAGTTTAACAATCCCCATCCAACTTTATTTTAACTTATAAGGGTTATCATAAAAAAAACAAAATTCGCAAAATTAAATTTTATTATTTGTGTTAAGGACCCAGATTTGTTCGACTGTACTTCAGAGGCGAGGAAAATCTTATCTAAAGAAAGTGTGCTTTTTTATATCATAAAAAACAATGTTTTCAAATGGACGAATAAATAAATTGTGCAAATAATCGCAAAACGACGTATCTCTGGTTAACAAGAAATACCACCTTTAAAAGATTTTTGTTTATAACTAGTATTAAAGATATGTTATTTAATATGTGAGTGGAAATTTTGGAAGATAATGTGATAGTTTGAAAGCTTAGTGTAATAATTTTCCTTGTTTCGGCTGCATCTAAAAAACTTTCTAAAAATTCCACACAAACCGAGGCTAATATTTATATCGTTGTTTCAACCTTTAACGAAATTTAAGACACTTTGCAGGAAATTTACTGTTTTATACGTTTATAGCTAAATTTTTTATATAGTCGTTGGTTCAAATAGGATTTTTCAGTCCCTGCACGGTTTACAAGCACTAGCGAAGCTTTTGTACGCCGACCGAACAACAGAATTTTGTGTCATTAATAAATAATAACTAAGTATTAGTCATTGTCCTGCAATGTTTAAATCATTCACGTAATCTCTAAATTATAAATTATAAATCGGATGGTGGAAAATTATTTCTGTAGTAGAATTTGTAAACAGAATATTGAAAATAGGTTTAGCACTGCTTTAATAATTATGATGTTCAGGTAGCATTAAAATTTCGAAATGACAGATCCTTTGTAATTTGTAATTTAGGACGCTAAAACGTCAAGCAAGTATGGGATTAGATATTCGTCAACGGATTTTATTACAATACTCCCAGGATCTTTTCATCACATAATTCCATTATTACTAACTTACTTTGTATAGAATTTCTTTATTATTTGGCTCATTTTTAAATAATTAAAAAACGTTTTGTTTTGAAAACATTTCTCTAGTGACTGATTTTATGTTCTACCTCAGAGCGCATAATTCTAAAGCCAATTATAACTATGCAAAACTCAAAAGCATATAGTTATTGTGCATATGTATCACTAGATTATTGCAACGTGTGCAGAAAGTAATTTTGGTGACCGTATATATGTGTATAAAACACAAGTAGAGATGTATTCTCTGATTTATGAAATTGCATCGAATATCGATTTTCAAAGTTGCTATTATTGGATACACAATAACGCACAAAAAAACGCATTCCGTGTTAAAACACTGAGTCGCGTTCGTTTCCTGCATTAAATAATCGCATTAAAAATGGCGAATGCGCTCGCCAGAGCTATTATCTAACCGCAATTGTTTTTCTTTTTGTTCCAGCGTTTCCTCAAGAGGATCCGATCATTACCGGGGTGGAGATGCAATACCAGATCGGCGACGAGATCACCCTCAACTGTACTTCAGGGAAGAGCCATCCGGCTTCCATACTTCACTGGTACATCAACGAACAACAGGTACGATATAAAAGCACTCGAAAGGTGAATGGGGATAACTAAATAAACATCAATATATCAAGAAGCAACATTGTTGCCAAGAGATACCGGTCTTTATTCCGCCTTCGTCTCCTAGAATTACCGGGGAAACGATTTCGTACTCTGCGAGTTTCTCAAATTCTGAAATCGGAAAATTGGTATGCTCTATATGCCGGGTTAGTTGGGCGAAATTGATCGAGTACTGTGGGTGAAAAGTTACGCCAATTAGGTATCAGTTTCCTATAATGAGTTGTTTTTGGATGGTTTGTTTTCGAATTAGACTCTTGTTTGCTGAAAATATCGGGTTATTAAAGCTGGAGAGGACTTAAGTGATTTAACTCCTACGAAAAAGATCGGATTTGAGATTTTTGTCATGTCTGTTTCGTTATAGGGGCAAACACATTATGTAGCAGCAAAGATGTGGATTTTTTTATTATCACGTCCGTTGTCAACCACAGAGGCAACCTTCAAACAATGTTTTATTCTTGAAATGTAGAAGTGTACAAGGTGTGAAAACGTTTAATGACATTCTAGTAGTTGTTCTTCGATATTTCACGTTCCTTTGTTAATTACTCTTCCCACTCTTTTCCAATAAATTTTTTAAAGTCAAATAATCCTTCAAAACAAATACTCCTACATTACAACATCACTAGTCACTGGTTTTTGTCAAAAATCTACTGCTTTTGTGTTAAATAATCATGATAACAAATACAGCGAAAAAAAAACTTGTTTCATAGTATTAGACAGATCTTCCCTAGCCTCTGAAGTGCAAATCCAGTCTATAGAAAAAAAAATTATATAATACCAGTCAGTGCAGGAAAAGTGGCCTTTGAGAAGATCGAACCCTCGGCCTTCGCGTTGTTAACACGATGCTCTAACCAACTAAATTAATGAGCGGTTGCTCAGCTTGCCTACGATATGGTATTCAAAAAATAAAATGAACTTTGTACCGAATTCCACAACAATCCCGCGAGTAGTTTCGGAGAATATCTAAATAATTATATAAAAAACCGTGGTACTGCTCATTTGCATATCATGGTCTAACCATAATGTTGACTCTTCCAGGACTTTTAAACAATTGCGCTTGACTTTAATTTTAATGTTGTGTTTAACGGTTTTATGCATTTAATTTTTGTGGTTGACCGAAAATTGGAAATATTTCAGGCATGAATATTGTAGCGAAACCAAGTAATTTCAAACATAAACACATGTGTATTTACTATATTTAATAATAATATATTTTTTTAAAGTAATAACAACACAAATAAAATTTAATATAAAAAAAAAACACCTACGAGTATCTTAAAAAGGAACATTTTAGATTTATTAAAGTTGCATATCTGTAGAAATACTTTGTCATTATGTCATGCCGATTATTGATTTATACTTGCCAACTGTAAACTAAAGAAGTATTGTAATCGACTCCACTGGCCGACTGGCCAATTCCATGTTTTCTCGACGTTTCATGACTCCAACCGTACGAAAAAATAGGTCTCCCGTTTCCGTTTCCGGGATTTTTAATATTCGATTAGACAGATAATCTCCCAAGCTACTGGGCCGACTTTTGATAACTGTTAAATACAAATATATAATAAATATTACTTAAATTTCATAAAATAGCATACTTCTATATTTGTACTTTATGAATTAGCCCTGTTTTGTTTATTAATATAATTGTTATTGTTCTTTAGTCACAATACGTAGCCACTCAGACCAACTGAACGTCCGCGGTTCATGCTGCCACGTTTCCATTTTTTTTAAATCAAATCAAGGTCGGTTCACCTCATTTTCTCGGAAATTACAGTATTATGGCACCCGCCTATATTTAATAGTAGTGAAATAATAATGATTATAATAACAGATCCTCATCCAAAATATTATTCGGTGTTGCTCCGTAATATCTCAATTAATTAATCAGTCCTCTTTTCTGTTTTAAGGAGACAAAATAAATCAAATTTCAGGTTATTCTAACATAAATTAGCATAATTTGTAATCTGAAAGTGCTTTCAGTCGAATTCTTTCGAAGTACAAACATAAACACTTGAAGTTAAGTATGTTATAAAAAGTACATTTTTCCGTTGGTTATGTACTTTAAATATATTTTATATTGTTCCCACTTGTGCGGACAGCAGCTACTTGGAATTTGGTTTTACTTTATAGAAATCATCACAAAACAAAAATCGTAAAATAAATTATTTTATCTAATTTTTCAAAAAACGGAATTGGTTGGTCTGAAAAATTCTGGAAAAATACATTCTGACAAGCGATATGACTAAAACTGAAGAATATTATTTTTCAGAAGAACTACAATCATATGAATCAGTTAGTTTTGTCGATTATAATCTTAAAAATAATTCTTTTAACTTCGATGCACAATTAAAATATTGCTTTGGCTAAAATTGTATTTCTACTAATTTTTTCAATTGCTCCCAACAAAATGTTGACGACAATAACTCGAAAATCTTTTAAATAGGTACATTATTTGAAACATAAAGTTAGTACCTGACACCAAAATTTCCTCACTTTTGAAGTGTTAGCAATAATACACGTATTTTCGTTTAACAATAATTTGTGATGACGTCATGAAGTGTCTGGTGGGGATAAAATATTAATTTTGGTCTAGAATAATTACATAGAAAGATCTTTGGATTCTTTTATTACCCGTACATAAGCTAAGGAAGTATTATAATATGGTTCGTGTGTCTACCTGTATGTGTGCCCAAAGTTTGTCATCTATTACTCATCGTCTTTTGTCTGTGATTTAGATTGATTTTTATTAAAATACCGGACCGACTGTTACCAAACATACATCTAGTACGTTAGGAATTTTACGTCGGTGATCAAACGTTCATCAAAATTTGCCTAATCTTCCCCACCAACAATTTAATGACGTCACCTCAAAATATTGCAGGGTAAACGCTACTTAATTTTATAAAATAAAATAACATATTTGTGGTTTATGAATGTACCTTAAGTTTCTAACCGACGCATCAAAATTTTCGAAAAAAGCAAAATTGCAAAACAACTTTTTACACGAACGCCGCATGGTCAAACATTTTTAAGAAAAAGAGAAGCTATGGTCAGCGCACTTAGGGCATTATGGATATACAGGGCTTTTATAAACGATTCTAAGGGTGTAGTTGGCCATGGATTTCAAAAATCGCCCTTTGTACTAGGAAGCGAAGACTGTGAAAATGGTTTATTCTGTTGAACAAGACATTTTCATTGTTATGTCTTGCTATCGCAATGGACTAAACGAAGTGTGGGTGTATTCTGTAACCGCTTGACAAGAATATCTGGCAAATACGCTGATTTAATAATTCAAGAAACATCGTTAGAGGCTCACGTTAGAGACGTAATCAACAGATTTGTTCGAACTGGCAGTGTCAACAACGAGAAAAATCGTGGAAGATCTGCAGTATCTGAAGAAGTTGTTGACAATTTGAGACGACTTGAGCTGAATCCGGAAATATTTTTGACAAAATTTGCTCAGCAGTCAGGAGTTCTGTTGCTACATGAAATTGAGGTCCAAATCATTGACGAAAGGAGAACATTTTTTTTAAATTAAAAAGGGAGTGAACATATGACTTGAACAAAATGGTGAACATTTTCAATATTTACTGCGATGTTTAACCGCAATAAATTTGCTTCTTTTTAGTGTAATGAATTAATTTTATTTTTTAAAAAGATATCAAGCTTTGAGGCAACCAGTTATACAGATGCCTGTTGGATTTGTCATGCATCCTTAGGCATTTAGTATAGTTCAAATCTGAGAGGCGGCACATTTACATAACCTACTGCGACCCTATAATCATTTATAGAAACCCTGTACAACTAATGTTTATTGGAAAGAAATAGCATAAGTTTCGTATGTTAATAGAAGTCACTTAAGTCACCAGGTAGTTAAAATTTAAGAGTAAAAGCGTGCTCTAATGCATTTATTTCTTATAAGTGTTTTTATTAAAATAGATATCACCATTATTTCTAGAATTTAATATCACCCGTTAATTTACTATTTTTCTAGATACATAAAGCAGAAAAAATATTTTGAGAATTTTCCTATAAGTTAATGTAAAGACATGTATGTAATTTTAAAGTAAAGATAAATGTAAAGAAGCGTGCTACGCGCATAATTGAAATGAGTTTATGTTTTACAAAATATTGTAATGACGTCATCAACATTTTTGCAGACACGTATATCAATCTGTGTAGGTGAAGTGTAATCCTATTAATAATAATATTATATTTAAACAATTTTTGGGAAAATAGAGTAAGGTGTTCCTGATTTAATTAATAAAATAAATTGACTCATTAATTTTTTTTGTCACCCTGTATAAGGAATTCTGAAAAATATCAATCATTTTAGGTAGAATTTATTAGCCAATATTTTGAGATGACGTTACCAATTTCTTGGAGCGAATAAATACATATATTTTAATTAAAAATTTACCATGTGCACGATAAATTTAAAACGTCTCCAAGATTTCAAAGCATTCGGTTTTGTAGATTCAAAATTAAATTGGAAAACGTTGTTATATTATAATTCGGATTTTTTTTTTCCAAAAATCTGGATGTCTCGGGTAGAACCTGACAACGAATTTATACTTAAACAACAGGTGTAGGAGTATGTTATTTTATATAAGTTAAAACCTATTTACCATGTACAATTTTGAGGTAACGTCGTCATCAAATTGTTGGTGGGGTTGGTTAGACAAGGTTTGGTTAACGTTTTACTATCAAAATAATATTTAAAATACACGTATAAAATTAGACAAAAAACAGTCCAGAAGTTTCGGAGATTGTCTGTCTGATGAAAATCAACACAGCCGGCCAACAGACAGGCAGACAGGCAGACAGGCAGACAGGCAGACAGGCAGACAGACAGACAGACAGACCGAAACGGCAGACCGATGGACTCGATTACAATACTTTCTTAGTTTACGCTCGGGAAGTAAAAATAGATAAAAGATCGTTCAAGGAAA